AGGGGGGAGGGAGGGAGGGGTATATATTAGGCTAGACAAGAATTTGGTGGTAAACTAGAATTATTTTGACATACAAAAAATTGTACTTCGATGTCTTACTGATTGAGGAATGATGAAATGTTTGCCTTAAAAAGAAATAAAACTTTTGAACTCGAAAACTACTGTTAAAAGCATAAAGCCGGCCAGGATGCTAACTGTCCAGAAGGGAGGGGAATTACTCTTCCAGCCCACTCTTGAGCTTGGAAAAGAAATAGGGATGGTGCTCAAGTTGAAACACCAATTGGCCCCGGAATATCCATTGCTAGGCAAGGATGGGGCACCAAGTACCAGCTTGGGAAGTAAGAGAAAATAAAATCACAGAAGAGACAAGCTACAGGCTTAACAGGTTTGCTACTTTGCAGAGACAGGTTTTCAGCAGTTATCCTGCACACTCTCCCTCCTCCCGAGGAAAAGGTGGTTGGAACCAAGGGAGAACCACTCTCTCTTTTCCTATTTGCACGTCAACTCTAGCGCCGCCCCCCCCCCCCGAAAGGGAGCTTTCCTTTGGTTTAGTTGCCGCTTCTGGTAAAAGAAACTTCGGGCTCAGCTCCAAGGACAATGAATGCCCTCTTAGGGGACCTGGAAGAAAAAGTTTGGGGATGGATCCTCTGGGAGAAAAGCTATCGATGACCTCGGTGGGAATCGAATAGGAATTGGTGACACACAAGGAAGCCCGGAATCAATGAGAACATCTTCAAACGCCTTAGGGTAGAACGAGCATGTTCTTCAGACTTATGTCGCTAGATGGCGCGCTACAGAGAGGCAACACTCGGTACAGCGGCGACTGAGCTATTCTAGGAAAGGCTGAGATTGAACGGGTTGAAATGATAGAGCTGTAGAGTGACGAGGAGGGGAAAGGCAGACGAACTTCCTCTTCCGCCTCAGCCACGGGAGCATAATGGCGTCGGCGGAGCCTCTTGTGCCGTTTTGAGGATCAAAGCGGCTCCCGGGAGGTGAGTGGAGGGAAGATCTGAGGAGAAGCCGCGAGAAAGTCGGGGCTTTTTGGCTTCCTCCACGGCGTATAAAGCAGAGGAAGCAACGAGGCTGAAACCTGTGTGCTGCTGCAATATATTCTTTTATTTTAGATTTTATTCCTCTGGGACTGCTCGATTTAAAACTTCTGCCTGTGATTTTCTGCTGGGATTTAAAAATAACATTTATTTCATATTTCTCTAACGCCTATTTTAAACACCAGCTTTCACGTACCTGTTGATTTCTTGTGATTTATTATTGCCATCTGGTTTTCCTGGCAAGCGAGGAGTTTAATAGGAATTGGGCACCTTTTCATCTATTAGGGTGCCCTCCCCCCTTTCTAAACTTAGATCAAACAATTTGAGTGAATGCAGTTTGGGAAATTTTGGACACAGAGATATGCGTAGATTGTCTACATTCATTCATAGATGTGTATTTCCATGCTCATGTATGCATACACGAGTATATTATACCATACATAAGCTTGAGGAGGGAACTAGACTAGAAGATCTCCAAGGTTCTTTTCTACTGTATTCTGATTGATTGATTGATTGAAAAAGAGAATTTTATGATGGTATTGATGATTGAACTTGGATCTTGTTAGGCTTCTATATGCCATAGCAATCATATTTGTGCTTTCACATGTTCTGCAGCCATTTTCAAACAATAATGAAGCTAACTCCTTTATATTAATCTTACAGAGAGAGAGGATGCCAAGAAGAGCACTCTGGACACCAGAGAATGAGAAGCAACAATGAAGGTCAAAATAAGCCATCATTCAAAATGTTTCTCAATTCTTCCTGAAAGTTTAAACATTCTTCTTCCTCAGTAGATGAGAAACAAGGGAAGGAATAACAAAAACAAAGTTTTGAGCTGGAAAAAAATAGAGCTGCCATGTATAGCCAAAATTGGCTGGCATTAATGAAAGCCTTTGAGGAAGATTGCATCACTCTGATTCTCCACAACAAGATCCATCCAGTGATAAGCCATATAAATGTTTGAAGTGTGGCAAAAGCTTTTCTTGGAAAAGATTCTTCGTGATTCATGGAAGAATCCATACTGAAGAATAGCTTTACCAGTGCTCCCAATGTGGCAAAATGTTTAGCATTCATTCAAATCTGGTGAAACACCAGAGGACTCACACTGGGGAGAAACTCTTTGAATGTCCAGTTTGTGGGCAAAGTTTCAGTTAAAATTCCCACCTGATGGAACACCAAATGACAAACACAGGAGAGAAACTATATAAAGGTCCTGTTTGTGAGAAATCTTTCAATCAGAATGCCAACTTGGTGATACACCAGACGACTCACACTGGAGAGAAACCATGTGAGTGCCCGGACTGTGGGAAAAGGTTCAGTAAGAATTCGAACCTTGTGATGCACCGGAGGACTCACACTGGAGAAAAACCATATGAGTGCCCGGATTGTGGGAAAAGTTTCATCCGGACTTCCTACCTGGTGGAACACCAGAGGATTCACACAGGTGAAAAACCATATGAATGTCCGGATTGTGGGAAACGTTTCATTCAGAGTTCTTACCTAGTGAAACACCAGAGAATTCACACAGGAGAAAAACCGTATGAGTGCCTGGATTGTGGGAAAAGTTTCAGACAGAATTCCCAGCTGGTGGAACATCAAAGGACACACACAGGAGAGAAACCATATGAGTGCCTGGATTGTGGGAAAAGTTTCCGTTGGAATTCCAACCTGGTGGAACACCATAGGACACACACAGGAGAGAAACCGTATAAATGTAGTGATTGTGGAAAAGGTTTCAAGCAGAGTTCTAAGCTTGTGATACATCAGAGAACTCACACAGGAGTAAAACCATTTCAATGTCCATATTGTGGGAAAAGTTTCAGTCAGAATTCCAACCTAATGATACACCAGAGAACTCACACTGGAGAAAAACCATATCAGTGTCCGGATTGTGGGAAAAGTTTCCAGCAGAATTCGAAGCTTGTGATACACCAGAGGACTCACACGGGAGAAAAACCATATGTGTGTTCAGATTGTGGGAAAGGTTTCAATTGGAATTCTGAGTTGGAACTACACCGGAGAACTCACACAGGAGAAAAACCATATGAGTGTCTAGATTGTGGGAAACGTTTCCAGCACAATTCTAAGCTTGTGGTGCACCAGAGGACTCACATGGGAGAGAAACCATATGAGTGTCCAGATTGTATGAAAAGGTTCAGTCATAATTCAGACCTGGTGATACACCGAAGGAATCACACTGGAGTAAAACCATATAAGTGCTCAGATTGTGGAAAAAGTTTCCAGCAGAATTCTAAGCTTGTAATACACCAGAGGACTCACACAGGAGAGAAACCATATGTGTGTCCAGATTGTGGGAAAGATTTCAGTATCAAGTCTAGCCTTATAAACCATGTAAGGTTACATACAGGGGAGAAACCATACGAGTGTCCAGATTGTGGGAAAGATTTCAGTTTCAGGTCTAGCCTTATAAATCATGTAAGGTTACATACAGGGGAGAAACCATATGAGTGTCCAGATTGTGGGAAAAATTTCAGTATCAGATCTAGTCTTATAAATCATCTAAGGTCACACACAGGGGAGAAACCATATAAATGTCCAGATTGTGGGAAAGATTTTAGTAGTAAGGCTAGTCTTATGAATCATGTAAGGTTACACACAGGGGAGAAACCATATGAGTGTGCAGATTGTGAGAAATATTTCATTAGTAGATCTAGCCTTATAAATCATGTAAGGTCACACACAGGTGAGAGACCATATGAGTGTCCAGATTGTGGGAAAGATTTCAGTAGTAGGTCTGGCCTTATAAATCATGTAAGGTTACACACAGGGGAGAAACCATTCAAGTGTTCAGATTGTGGGAAGTGTTTCACACAAAAGTCCTCTCTTGGTATACACAAGAAATTCCATATGAAGCAAAATTTGATGTCTGTAGAGGAATCTTGAATTTCATTTCTCTTCTCTGGAAGCCCAGTTGGGAAATTTAACCATTTAATTTCTTACAATACAATAATACAATAGCAGAGTTGGAAGGGACCTTGGAGCTCTTCTAGTCCAACCCCCTGCCTAGGCAGGAAACCCTATACTGTTCCAGAGAAATGGCTATCCAACATCTTAAAGACTTCCAGTGTTGGGGCATTCACAACTTTTGGAGGCAAGCTGTTTCACTGATTAATTGTTCTGTCAGGAAATTTCTCTCAGTTCTAAGTTGCTTCTCTCCTTGATTAGTTTCCACCCATTCCTTCTTGTTTTACCCTCAGGTGCCTTGGAGAATAGCTTGACTCCCTCTTCTTTGTGGCAACCCCGAGATATTGGAAGACTGCTATCATGTCTCCCCTAGTCCTTTTCATTAACCTAGACATACTCAGTTCCTGCAACCGTTCTTCATGTTTTAGTGTCCAGTCCTCTAATCATCTTTGTTGCTCTTCTCT